TACTTAAATTGCCATGGCTCAATACTAAGGAATTCTGGAAATTGTAGAACTATTTGGCAGAGAATGCCAAAGGCCTTGTAAAACTACTGCTCTCGGGTTTCCATAGTATTAAGCCATGCCAGTTAAAGTGGAATCAAACTGCGTTAAGTCTACCCTAAGTAGAATAATAAGTAGCTAAAAGTCCAGTTCTGACTTAAAGACAGAAATGCCTTACTTTTTTACAAAAAAAAAAAAATTAACAAGGCAAGATTCTGCTGTGATCTCTTCCTTGATGCTTCTGGAAGAAGCAATGAGCTGTTTTTTGACAGAAAAAGACACGAAAGGATTAATTCGAGGCATATGGAAGAAGTTGGGGACTGCAAAAATAGCCATAGAGATAATACACAACCACAGAGCTGCACTCTGCATGCTCTTTAAAAAAGAACCACAATCCTACAGTAAGTTACTCAATGTCCCTATTCTACTACTTAAGGAAGATGAAGCTTACCATCCATACCAAGACCTAAAACAAAGCTTTATAAACAAACATATGTGGATTTAATTTTTTTAATTCATTTTAAAGTTTGAGAGTTAAAAGTTTATTTTGCTATTTACTCCACCCACAAAAGCTTTCTTAACATTACTCAATCCTGAGATTCTTTTTTAAAAAAAATGCCTCTCCTTGATCAATTCTGTTTTTTAAAGTGATGTTTCCAAATTTGACATGAACCAGAAGCCTTTATTAACTCTCTGTCAGAAAGGCAATGTGTACACAACAGAGGGAGGGAGCCATGAAGCTGAGGATTGGGAGAAAACCCATCCAGAGAAAGATATGAAGAAGGGCTGATTAGGAATGAAACATGCATTTTAAGCTTGCTTTGTATTATATTGTGTTTCTGTGTCTTTATTCGCTTAATTTTGCAATTGTACTGTATGGTTTTATGGTCTGTTATTCTTGTTGCAATAAGTTTGTGTACACACATATATTTTAGATCGTATGCCTCTGGCAGGATCTACTGTTTTTGCTTGGAATAATTGAATTGGAAGAAATCCCAAATGCCATCCAATCCAACCCCCTACCATGCAGGAATACACAATTAAAGCACTCCTGACAAGATGCCCATCCAGCCTCTATTCAAAAGCCTGTCCACCAAGAAGTTTTCCCTAACGGAATTACTTTTCCTGCCATTTGAATCTATGGCTCTGGAACAACAGAAAACAAGTTTCCCCCTTCTCACTCTGACAATCTTTCAAAACCAGTAAACTTTCAGTTAAATGGTTGGTAGATGCCAGATAAAGTTGCTTGGGAATTACTATTAACAACAGGCCTAACACTGTAAGCCAGGCCTGGGCAAACTTTGGCCCCTTAGGGGTTTTGGACTTCAACTCCCACAATCCAAATGCTTAAGCGGCTGAGGGGGAAAAGGAAGAGGCGTGAGGCTGTTAGGAATTGTGGGAGTTGAAGTCCAAAACCCCTGGAGGGCCGAAGTTTGCCCAAGCCTGCTATAACCTATATTATACCGTAAACTCTTGTACTGACTTGATATTAATATTGAAATAAAGCAATTAAAAGTAATACATTTTACACTATTATAAAATAGCTCTTGTGAATGACATAAGCAATTTCAGTTAAGTTTTTGTGCTGGTTGCTTGAGATTTCCAATTAACTGAGAGTCTGCTTTACAAACCTCCCTTGCTGCACCAGGTCTACTGGCTACCAGTCTGCTACCGATCACAGTTCAAAGTGCTGGCTTCAGCTTATAAAGCCCTAAGCTTACCTGTCCAAGCGTATATTTCTCTATGAAAGATTTTGGAGATTAAGATTATCTGGGAAGGCCCTGCTCTCAATCCCACCCCTTCATAGACAGGACTGGTGGGGATGAGAGACAGGGCATTCTCAGTGGTGGCCCCTCGGTTGTGGAACACCCTCCCCATGAAAATTAGATCACCCCCTCCCTCTTGACCTTCAGGAAGAAAGTTAAGTCCTCGTTGTGGGACCAAGTGTTTTCACAATGATAGTGCAACAATTGATAGTGCAATAATAAGCTATTACAGGTGACAATTGGAATGGCTCCTGACTTATGTTCCCAGATTGTGCGATTTTAAATAATTACTTCAATTGATGTGTTTTAATGATGCGATTTTAATGTGTATGTTGTTTTATGCTGATATGTGTAACACGGGTAAGGTTCTTAATTTATAGTATATGTTATTGTCTAGAAATTATGTTTTGGATTTGCTACCATGTCTCCTCTCAACCTTCTTTTCTTCAAGCTAAATGTAAATTTGTTTTATTGCAAAGCACAATAAATAATAATAAAATGAAGACAATAGAGTGGGCGAGGAAAATGAGCGAAGCCTGGATATATGTGCACGAAACGGGGGGAGAGGGAGATTGAAAAGGAGGGATGAAAATATGCCACAGCAAGGGGAAATATGGTGTAAAGGGGCATCAAACTTTGTTAGATTTTAGCTATTCTTGTAAGCCGCTCCGAGCCCCAGGGGAGTGGCGGCATATAAGTTTAAATAATAAATAATAAATAAATAAAATAAAATTCCAAGAATATATATTCCAAGATAATACTATAATGTAATACAATATACTACTACTAATAATATAATATTATAATGATATATTTTATATTAAATGTAATATTACTAATAATATTACAATATAATGTTATAGTACAATATAATATATAATATTAATATTGTGCTATGGTAATAATATAATATAATGTATTTACTTTTTACTTGTAAGCTGCTCTGAGTCCCCTTCGGGGTGAGAAGGGCGGCATATAAATGTCGTATGTGTATGTGTGTGTGTATATATATATACACACACACTAGCCATCCACGCGTTTCTGTGGCCTAGTCTGTGTATATGTGTTTTGTGTGTGTATATATTTGTGTGTGTGTATGTGTGTATATATTTGTGTATTTGTGTTTATATGTGTACATGCATATTGTGTATGTGTGCTTGTCTATATGAATATTTGGGTATATATATGTGTGTATATTTGTGCATATATATATATATTGATTGTTCTGTGCTGCAGGCATCAAATTGTGCCTTTGCTTCTGTAAGCCGCCCTGAGTCCCCTTCGGGGTGAGAAGGGCGGGGTAAAAGAACCCCAAATAATAAATAAATAATAAATATATATATATATAGGAATGTGTGCATGTAAATATGTATGAGTGTATGTGTATTTGGTGGGTTTTTTGGGGGGGGGATTAAGTTTGCTCCGCTGGGGTTGTGTGTGTGTATTTTTTGGGGTGATGGACACTCATTGGACTGTTAGGTGTATTGTGTCCAAATTTGGTGTCAATTTGTCCAGTGGTTTTTGAGTTGTGTTAATCCCACAAATGAACATTGCATTTGGGGGGGGGGAGTTAAGTTTGCTCCGCTGGGGTTGTGTGTGTGTTTTTTAGGGGTGATGGACACTTGTTGGACTGTTATGTGTATTGTGTCCAAATTTGGTGTCAATTCGTCCAGTGGTTTTTGAGTTGTGTTAATCCCACAAACGAACATTGAATTTTTTTGGCGGGGGGGGGGGGGTTGTTTAAGTCTGCTCCGCTGGGGTTGTATGTGTGTATTTTTAGGGGTGATGGACAGTCGTTGAACTGTTAAGTGTATGGTGTCCAAATTGGGTGTCAATTTGTCCAGTGGTTTTTGAGTTGCGTTAATCCCACAAACGAACATTGCATTTGGGGGGGGGGGGGTTTTAAGTCTGCTCCGTTGGGGTTGTGTGTGTGTATTTTTAGGGGTGATGGACACTCGTTGGACTGTTAGGTGTATTGTGTCCAAATTTGGTGTCAATTGGTCCAGTGGTTTTTGAGTTGTGTTAATCCCACAAACGAACATTGCATTTTGGGGGGGGGGGGGTTAAGTCTGCTCCGCTGGGGTTGTGTGTGTATTTTTAAGGGTGATGGACACTCGTTGGACTGTTAGGTGTATTGTGTCCAAATTGGGTGTCAATTTGTCCAGTGGTTTTTGAGTTCTGTTAATCCCACATTACATTTTTATTTATATACATATTCCAAGAAATACACACACACATAACTAGGAAGGGGTCGCAGTGATGAGAAGACACCTCCGAGGAGGCGACGGGGAAGGCAAGCCCTCAGGGCCCAAAACCCCGTTCGCCGGGCCCGGATCGGGAAGGACGGCCGCGGAGGGAGCCAGGAAAGGGGAAGGCCTGCTCGAGAGGCCGGGAGCAGCCCAGCGGCCTTCCTCAGTGGCGAGCCCGAGGCTGAGCAGCGGCCTCTAGGCCTGCGAGGGGGCGGCGCTGGGGAACGGGGGAGGAGCCGCCGCTCGGCCGCGGATTTAGCGGCCGCGGATCCCCGCTATGCCCGGCGGAAGAAAGGGAGGAAGGGAGAAAGAAAGGAGGCCGGGCCGGCTACCTGGTCGACGCTGGTGGCTGACATTCTTCAAGGGGCGCGCAATCCCCCTCACCCCCTCCGCTCGGGCCTGCTCGTGGGTCCCGCTTCCCTCCAGGCGCCGCTTTCTCCGCCACTCTCTCCTCCTCCTCCTCCTCCGCCGCCGCCTGATTGTCTCCGCAGCTCGGCCCCCTCCTCCTTGGCCTCGGAAAGCAACCCGCTGGACGCTGCGAGCGCGGCGGCGGCGTCGGCTTCCCTCCCTTCTCCTCTCGGGGCTTCGCTTTCCCACAATGGCGGACGCGCTCCGGCTCCTACTTCCGCTCCGCAGCGCCCTGACCTTCCGCTCTCTCCCCCTTCTTCCTCCTCCTCCTCCTCCCTCCCTCGCTGCTGCTGCTGACGACGACGTCGCAGGCGACCTTTCCGTCTCCGCCTCATGTCACGTGGGGAAGGGGAAGGAAGAGGAGAAGGAGGGAGGAGGAGGAGAACCAGAAAGGGGCGCATGCGCACGCCCCCTTCGCCTCCAAGAGCTTCCAAGAGCCCGTATGGTGTGTGTCTAGGAGGGTGAGGCGCTCGCGCGCGTCGACGCAGGCGCAGTGCTGCCTCCGACCGGTGGGGGTGGAGGCGGAAGTGACGTCAGCATTCTTTCCCTCAGCCGCACAGAGTCGGGTGAGAATCCTGAGGGAACGGAAAAGGCGTGAGAGTGCTTCGAAAAGGAAGGCGTTCGAGGCCGTTTTCCCAACCGTCTCAACCGCTCGGCTCGGAGTGAGCAGGCGGCGCTTTCTCGGGACGCCGTAGTCGACGGCTGAGGAGAAAGAGAGCCCCTTGGCTTGCTTCCTTCCTTCGCTCCGAAGGGCTGCCGTTGAACCGTCGGCACTCGCGACAGGGAGGCCTCGGCGCCAGGTTTCTCTCCGCTTCTTCCCCGGGAGATTCCTCTCCCATTTCGGTGAGATTGTCTCCAAAGGCTTAACGATATGAGGGAGGGGTGTGAGGGGCAGGAAGGAAGGAAGGAAGGCAGGGCCTGTCTTCCAAGCAGGGAAATGGCGGCCGAGGGAGTGGGAGCCTGGCATGAGCAAGCCTTTAAGAAGGTCCTGGCCCGGGTAGAAAAAAGCTGAAGACTTGGAACTGAGTCGGCAAAAGCCGGGGAAAATGATCAGTTTTATTTGTTTTTTCTTTTTGTTTCAAGCCTTCCGCGTTCAGGGTATTCGGCTTTTAGTGCTGAGTCATGGCATAGCTCGAGCAAATGGAACAAAGTCCACCAAAGAGGGATATACCTCTCTGGGCCAACGCAAAATGCGGAGAAACGCTCATGTCAGATTTCGAAGCTCCACTGGCTTCTGTGCCCTCTGAAGAATCATTCATAGAAGAGAAGGAAAATGAGGGCACTGGAGACGCAGGCCTACGTTTTGCACCCAGTGTTGTTTTTGTGGGTCAGTTATTCAGGCCGGTTTTCAGTCTAGGCATAAGCCACTCCCCAATTTTGGCCTTATGAATACCAAGACAAAAAAACGGTCAAATGTACCATATATACTCAAGTATAAGCCGAGGCACCTAATTTTATGACAAAAACTGGGAAGATGTATTGACTCGAGTATAAGCCGAGGGTGGGAAATGCATCCACTATGGGTCAATTTCAAAATAAAAATAGATACCAATAAAATTTACATTAATTGAGGCATCAATAGGCTAAGTGTTTTTGAATATTTACATAAAACTGTAATTTAGGATAAGACTGCCCAACTCTTATTAAACCATTATGCTAACCTATAAGTAAATGTACTTATTATTAAAATAATATATATAATAAAAATAATACAGTGAAATATTGAAAATGTAATAAAAACAGTAATAGTAGAGTAAAATAATAAATGTAATAATAGAGTAAAATACTGTAAATGTAATAATAATAATAATAATAGAGCAAAATAATAAATAGAATAATAATAGAGCAAAATAATGTAAATATAATAATAGAGTAAAATAATACATGTAATAAAATATTACTAATAACAGAGTAAAAGAATAACCTTGACTCAGGTATAAGCCGAGGGGAGCTTTTTCAGCCTAAAAAGAGCCTGAAAAACTAGGTTTATACTCGAGTATATACAGTAAGTCGCTGCAGCAGCAGAGTCACTCCTATTGGAATCCAGGATGACTCAGCCTTTTGTGAAGCCACAGGCCCCTTTCTTAGGAATTTATTTATAGTATTGGAAGCAAACCGAGGGTACATTTGTAATGTATTTTTTTAAAACTTGGCATTATACTAAAATGTCCTTTGACCAGTAGCTGGCCACTTGGAGTGCTTCGGGTGTTGCTATAAGAAGGTCCTCCACTGTACATGTGACAGGACTCAGACTGCATTGTAAGAGGTGGTCTATGGTTTGCTCTTCTCCACACTCACATGTCGTGGATTCCACTATGCAGCCCCATTTCATAAGGTTGGCTCTGCATCTCATGGTGCCAGGTGCAGTCTGTTCAGCCCAGTTTTCTGTGTGCCCAGGGAGGAGTCTCATTCAGTATCAGCCATGTCTTGGGGTTCCAGGTTTTAGCCTGCCAGTTTTGGACTCTCACTTGGGAGTATCTCTGTAAATCTTAGAAAATCCATTTTTGATTTAAGGCGTTGGCGTGCTGGCTGATATCCGAACACCAGAAGCTACCAGAAGCTTTTTTAAAGTAGGAGACACTGAATTTCTCCAGAGGTCTCTGTGCTGCTACAGTACAGGAGTTGGGTGCTGTGTAGGTGCTCTCTCCACCAGTGCCTATTCTACATGGACATTTGATCCAGGCTCATCCTGCCTTTGCTGTATAATTACCCAGGCCATTCAGGGCAATTTTACATCACCCTGCTACTCTCAGATACCAACCAGTTATAACCTATATTACTGCCAAGTTTTGTGCAGCAGCAATTCAAATCCGCCGGGCAATGACTGGTTCCAAAAGTTAACAATCTTAACTGTCAGCTAACTGAAATGTAAATCGGTTCTTCCCACTCCAGTACCCTAGACTTGTGCCCTAAATGCTCCTACCCTTCCACCAATCTCCCTCCTTCTCCATCCCCTTCTAGTCCCTTCCCGTAATAGTTTTTGTGCTTTAGCCTTCAACATACCTCTGTTTTTTAGCCTTTTAGATTTTAATGTACAATAATTTTATGAGACTGTACCTCACTCTCCTTATGCTGTTCTATGATTGTAATAAAGATTTATGATTAGGTAAAACTCAGACAATTACTTCACTGTATGGCCAGCACAGGTATCCCTGAATATGTTTGAAGTTGAAATGATTAATCCAACAGGTGATGACTGCTTGGTATGATTTCTTCAAGAGCCTCCTCTGTGTGTCTGTGTGTGTGTCAGGTGCAACTTGAGAAACTGCAAATCGCTTCTGCTGCAAGAGAATAGGATGTCTGCAAGGACGTTGTCCAGGGGACGTCATATGTTTTACCGTCCTTTGGGAGGACTCATATGTCCCCACATGAGAAGCTGGAGCTGACAAACGGGAGCTTACCTGCTCCCTGGATTTGAACTGCCGATCTTTTGATCAGTAGTCCTGCTGGCACAAGGGTTTAACCCATTGCGTCACTGGGGGCTGATATGCCAGTGTCTTGGGTTGTGTTTTTTTTTTGTGGGGGGGGGGGTGGGAGGGCTATCTGATATAAGAGCTTGTGGAGGTACCCCCAGCAGCCTGTTTGTGGTGACAAGTTTGGTTCCAGAATGAAAATACTCTTTCTGTAACTCATAAAACAATTCTCGAAAGGCAATAGTGATTGTTGTGAATAGACTAGATTTTAATTGGATTCATAAGCTCCTGGTTGTTGAGCTGGAGTTTCTGGTGGCATTTGGCTTCATCAGATCACTTTTTATTCTAATTTACTGCCTTAAACTTAGCTAGTTTTATGTGGAGGTGGTAATCTACTGAGATGTTGTTCTTCACGACTTCATGATTCTAGTTTTTATTTATGTACATTTCATGAGTACATTAAACAATTGGTTTCCAGGTAGCTTTGTGTTTGTTAGACTCTTATCAGTCATTTACTGGTCAGAAAGTAAAATATACAACTTTCCACAAGTCTGGATAGTGTTTCTGCCATGCAGATGTCATTGCCTCATATATAGGCAAATTATATATTTTAATTTTAGCTAATGGATTTGGATTAGACTGAACTTCAAATATGCCAAACACATGCTGATAAAATGTATGTGTGTTTCAAGATCAATATGATTGCCAGCAACAATTTTCCCTATTCATACGTAGTCTGTTCACAGGCTATGGTTTATAATTTTCTAAAATATGTAAAAAAAAATCTCTTTCTGAATTCCATGTTGCACAATCATTTCTGGTGGGGTTGCTAATGGCAAATGTAAGGTCTTCGGGAAAAAGCTTTGTTTCTGTTAATTAGTAGTGCATCATTTTGGTTCATGGAAAATGTATCCATTTTTATGTGCAAGCTCATGTCAGTGGTGCAGCCCTGTAAATATCAGCTGCCTTTTTTTCCTCCTGGAGAAGAAAATTATAGCGAAATTCTCATACATAACATTTCCACACTTATTTTCATAATAAGGTTGATGAGGGGCATGTGTGTCAATGTTCTGCATTAAATAATTATTATTTTGTCAATCTGGAGCCTCAACTAGCATTCCATTCTTTAGTTAAAGCCACACTAGTCAAAGTTGTCATATTCCAGTCTGGCAAAAGGAAGAAACAGCTGTAGTCAGTGGTTACAAATATAGGACTGGTCTCTATCACATGGCAGGAAGGAGGCAGCTGATCCTCCGCATTGGATAGCATGAGAGCATTGAGCTAAGCATCTGGGGCATATTAGGAAGTGTCTGTACTTACCATATTGCAAAACGGACAGTGCTGCACACTAATTGAAAAATGTTTAATAGAAAGAAAAATACAAGACCAGTTGGTCAGTTTATAACAATAAGACAGGTTCAATAGACTTTCAGAAAAAACTATTTTTTCAAGCGGAAGGAACCATCAAGAAACCAGAAGCTAACTTTTATTACAGATAGTAGCTAAAACTTAATTGCTAGCCAAGGCTTTAGCATCGTAACAGATGCTGCTCCAAAACCTGCACAAAATAGACACGTAGCCACCTGAAAAAGACTCAGATGATATCTAACCATAGAGTGCCAATAAGAATGGGAAATAGGCTGCTTGCATATTATTGTGATGGTTAAAGTTCAGTAGTTTTGTTGTTCATTGCTTGGGAATATGCATGCAGACAATGGCTATTAAATTTGGATTTCAGAAATCATCTCTTTATTTTTCTTATTCCTAGACTGCTTGTTTGAGCTTGGTGCTTCCTACTTTTACACACCATGAGCCCAACTGATTCCAAACGTTGTGCTACCAAGCGCAGGAAGAACAAGAGATCTACTGGTCTGGTCTCTTCAAATCTAGTTGATGATTTGGAGGTGAAGTCTGTGGCCCCTCCTCCTTCAACCACCACCTCCTCAACCCCATCAACTTCTTCTGTGGCCTTCTCTTTTCAGACATCTGCCACTGCTGCTTCTCCTAGCAATGAAAATAGTGTTCTGTTAGAAACTGACACAGCCATACCATCAATTTCCAGTGAAACGATAGGGAAGAGTGAAGTTCCCAAAAAGCGCTGTGGAGGAACAATTAATTCTAGGCAAACTTGCAAGCGAAGCAGAATATCTACCTTATCTACTGACAGTTCTTCACAAGTAGAACCTATTGATCTTGAAGAAACCCCTTGTGAAGAAGTAGTAGACCTCACTTGTGAATCTTCAGACCCAGTTGTAGTTGATCTGACTCGCAATGATTCTGTTGTTATAGTTGAAGAAAATATTTGTCAACAGCGAAACCAACATTTAAGAAGCCAACAACTTCCTGACAGTTGTGTTCTGAGCAGTGATGATGACGAACCAAGAGATAATGATGTAGTGTTGACTGATACACTGCCCAGGGAATTGGAATTGCTGGAAGATGGCATTTCAAGTACACGACGTTCAGGTACTGTGAGTTGCCCGATTTGCATGGATGGATACTCAGAAATTGTACAGAGTGGAAGGCTCATTGTGTCAACAAAATGTGGTCATGTTTTCTGTAGTCAGTGCCTCCGGGATTCTCTAAAAAATGTTAATTCTTGCCCAACTTGTAGGAAGAAACTTGGTTACAAACAGTATCATCCAATTTATATATGAAGCTTTAGATTCTTCTCCAAAGAATCTGAATTGAACTTTGAAAGATGCTTCATAAAATTTTAATACCACAAATAATAAAGAACTACAGATTACATATATGCCAAATTGTGATGCTTATTTGTTGACTTTTCTGGTTTGTTTTTCTATTGATCTGTCTTATACATAAGCTCATTTTTGTTTTATTTTTCATGCTAGCAAGTTGGCTTTATCCCTCATCAGGGTAAATAATTATTTGAAGGACTATCTGCAGCAAGGAAAGCACCTTGTGTTTCCATGCCACTTTTGAAAAAAAAGGAAGATGTCCTCCTCTCGAAGAGACTGCATGAATATTCTTTTCATTTGAGACTTTAAAGTCATTAAATTCAAGATGATGAAAGTAAAAGTGACAAGCAATTAGAAAGCCTGCAGTTTTTAGTGCACTTCACTATAATAATCAAATCCAATGCCATGGGAAGCTGCTCATCGTGTGTGAACTTCTGAATTTCCAAGAGGCTGGACTTTGTAGCCATATTGCAACATACATCTGATATAAAATGTGCAAATATTTTATTTGAAGGCATGCTTTGCTCATACTTTTTGATGTTCCGAAGCCTAATCTTTGCATACGCATACATTGAAAAGGACCTCCTTAACTTCTCCCCTTCTGAGAAGGATGTGAAATTAAGCTGTGGTGAAACAAGCTTATTTTAGCCCTCTACGTATTCATGATACAATGTTTAATGACTTGACTTTAAAAAATTACTATGTATTAACAAGTTCCTATTGCTGATACTTCATAATTTGGGAAAGTAATTTTAGAAACAATACATTCTCTTTGCTATTTATTAATGCAGTTTAAATTGAGTAGGCCTTAAATATGTATATTAGTTGCACTTTCGCCCCTGTGAAGACATATTTTGAAAATGGACTAAGGCATCATCCTGCTCATTTGACAATGATCAAGATTATATATGTGAAGTTGGACTACAGCTCTACATTTTAAGTAATCATTTCAATGAGTTTTTATGTGTAAAGCATGATCTGGAATTTCTTTCTATTTGACCCAGCAGGTTTTGTCTGTAAGCCCATTTTCTCAACTTCCAGAGTTTGCTGTGCAGCCCACAATGTGAAGTTTTGGTGCCGCTTACACTAGGCAAAAGTGAGCTCTGGAGCTCTGCAAAGTCTTATCAGCAATAAACTGGTGAAGGAAGGCAGTAGTTGGACCTTTACCTATATTAGCATGCAATAAGTCATCCCATATACTTCATATAACTATGAAGGCTAATGTATGTGGAAATGTTAAGATACTATCTCATGTAATATAGTCTCTTTCTTGACAGCGAGTTAGTGTTGAGGTAAGGACTTTGAACATTTGCCACTATTGATTGTGTAGACAGTTTCAGGTGCTTACTAATAATTTAAGTTACATAAATAAATTCTTGTTTAGAATTTTTACTGTACAGATGGATTGCACAAATACAGAAATCACCAGTTCTGGCCTTCTTATTAAAAGAACTACCTAAAAGTTCACATTTTTCATGTTAAACATTTTGATCTCATCATAAATACTTTACTATAAATAGTCATGCATGATTAGAAGTTGCAAATAAATGACAATCTATATTATTGAATAGCCCCTTCCATCTTGGGTTATTTACATGCAACACTTAGTATTTACAGAAAATTAACTCCCATACCACTAAAAGAAATTTGAAAGTCCCAGTTGTATCATAGAATCTTAGAAATGTATTGTGGTTGGTTTTATACCACATTAGCTGAACTGTTTCAGTAGTAGGCAGTCTTGTTTAGAAAAATAGAACTTTTCTGAATCATATCCTGACAACTCAAAAAATTCATTCCAGAGACCAAGAACATTATCAACCCACTCTACCATAAGGCAATATGGCAGAAAAACCTCTGTAATTTAAAAGTAACTTCTAGTACATTAAGAGGAGCTTACTTTTTATATATTTTTCATAAGGTCACAGTTCATAAATAAAAAAGTATAATTCTCTTAAGAAGAGTTGTATTCTTCTGGTTCATGTAATTTTATTATTGTTTTTGTGAGTATATATTTACATGAGGCATGTCTACAAATCCCTTTACAATAGCTTTTGAAAGTTGCACCAGCTTGTAGGCACACAATTTCTATAATGAATTTTCAAATAGCTTTTATTGGCTTGGATCCAGATTTTGTTAAAATAATGCCATTTAAATCAGTGAGGCTTAAGTTAGTCATGACTAAGGTTAGGCCATTGTTTCCAGTGAGTTGGCTTGCAATAATATGGATTCAACCAATTGACTGTATTTGGATTTTATGTTAAACCATGTTTTAGTATTACATGGCCAGGCCTCAAGTATGGGTATCATCCCTTCTTCAGTGAATCTACAAGGAAATCTGAAAGTTTCTCTTTCATTTTTAACCAACTATGCATAACATTATGTTTAAACAGACACATTGTGGCTAGTTTTAATAGTGTTATTGAAACCAACCAAATTCATACCATGGGAAGAGGAAGATGCACAAACCACATGCATATAATGCCTAAACTACAATTTAATGTTGTAGCCATACCTAACTGTCTTCAAAACAAGGTGTAAAAATCCCTTTGAATTTATTTTCAAAGCACATGATGTAAATGAGGTGCATGAATTTAGGAATTAAATATCACATTTCTGTTTTCTGTATTTTCCCCATTGTAAATGTGTAGAGTTCATGCTTTTTACTTATTTAAACATATCTGTTTATGTGTATATCAGTTTTGTGTTCGACATTTTAATTAGACGAATAAATTTTATTGATAAATCTTTTTCCATAATTTTTGCTTTCTGATTGTATTGGGAACATTAAACCTGAGAATATAAGTATTTTAGATAAATAACAGCTATATATATATATAGAGAGAGAGAGTTCTTTTATGAGGCACTTTGTAAAGAATATAGTAAATCATAAACATAACTACCTGAACAAGAAGAGTTGCCTGAACAAAAATATGATAATTGAAATTTAAATCTGGGTTGCTGTGAATTTTTTGGGCTGTATCACCATATTCCAGTGTCTGCTGTCCAAAGGAAGATTTAGACTTATAGTTGGTTCTTCAGGTCACCGAAAAAGACCTTGTACCTTCTTCAGTTGTTCCAATGCTGGGAATAAATCTGATTTGGCTAGCAAACTGGCCAGAGAATAAGGCATCAATGCTATGTTGCTTAAGATCCTTGACTTTCCTAAGCAGGAAGGGGTATAACCACTTTGATAGTCATTGCACCATGGTTTCACTGAGTTTCAGGAAATTTGGTATATATTAGTGATGTTGATTCATGGATCTCTTAAGTAACATTCAATTTCATAACAGTGAAACAGTCTTCCAGGTACAGGAGATACCAACTTCCCCAAAGACAGTATCTATTCAGTTAATTAAAAAATGCTAATATTCAGTCTAAATCAAAGCACATTAAACTTTTTCTTCTCTTAATAATAATCATTTTATTTCTTACCCGTCTCTCCTTGCAGCTCAAGGCAAATCAGGTCATAGCACAGTCAAAACACACAAACATTGCAAAAAACCTATAAACACATTTTAAAATGCAGTTCTATAAAAGATACATATTCAAACATACTTTTATGAAATACTAAATGCACAGGATAGAGATTAAAACATGACACGATTTTAAAATTCATGCTCTTGTCCAACTACATTTAGATGTATGTCATACTTATCTTTTGAAAGCAGAGCCAATGTTCTCCACACTTCACTGGGCTTATTATTCAAAGTTCTACTGACATTTGCGCCTTTTCATAGAGCTATTTAACTTACCAGCTTTGTTAAAAGTCCTACTAGATGCAGTGCCAAATGACAAATAGCATTGTCTGTTGTGAAGGAGTGCTTTGCTTTCCCAAAAAGTCATAACTTTCTTACCAGAGTGGTTCTGAACAACAACAATAATAACTTTATTTTTATACTCTGCTGCCAGCTCCCCGAAAGGACTCGGAGCAGCTTACACATGAGACAAAATGTCCACAGATCATCAAAACAAAACAATCAATGAAAACAAAAACAAAACGCTCTAAAAATCAAACAGCAAAGCATAATAAATAAAAACAATTGAACAAAACATAAAGGTATAAAACAGCAGCATTGAAAATCACTCAAACAATACACAACAAAAAACAAATACCAGAATACTAAGATGGGCATGATCAGGGTATAAAGAGGACCGGGCCTGGGATAGTGCAAAACAGCGTAGTATAGGGCCAAGGGATTGGAAGAAGTACGGAGAACAGAATACTATATGGTGAGAGGGACTGGGCAGTTATATGTAGGGACAAGTCATTCTCAAATGCTTTTTGGAACATCCAGGTTTTCAGATCCCTATGGAAGGAGGACAGTAAAGGGGCTTGCCTAATCTCCCTGGGGAGGGTGTTTCAAAGTCGGGGGCACCACTGAGAAGGCTCTTTCCGTTGTCCCCACTAGCTGTGTTTGTGACGATATTGGGAGCGAGAAGAGGACTTCCCTGGCAGATCTTAGAGCCCATGCCATTTCAAAGGGGGAAATACGATCACAAAGAGGTGGGGCCCAAACTATTTAGGGCTTTGTAGGTCATAACCTGCACCTTGAATTGGGACCGGAAACTTACCGGCAGCCAGTGAAGCTGCTTTAATAGGGATGTCATGCACTTCCTATAATTAGTTCCAGTTAAAAGCCTGGCAGCTCACTTTTGCACCAATTGCAGCTTCCAGGCCATCTTAAAAGTAAATTTGGCAGATTACATGATGGAACAACCTCCATTTTCTGAAGTCTATCAGCTCACAGCATACAGCATAGAGGTAAGCAGCTAATTCTTTTTCCTTCAGGTTTTCAAAAAACTTTCTCTTAAAAACTGAAAGTTTCATCAGACCATCGTCCAACATCCTGTTCTGGTGATGGCTAACCGGATGCCTGTGGTAAATACAAATCAGGCATGTATATAATAGGATTAATTTTGTTTTTATCCCACCTTTCTCCTAGAGTAGGAGACAAATTGTTTTACAACATGGATTAAAATAGATTCCAGCTAATAACACAGCAAAGAAAAGAGTCAGGCTCTTGTTGCTGGTTTGAATGTTTTCTGAACAACATACTTTGACATATTTGAAGTGGTGGTTTGTTTTTTTTAAAAAAAAAAGATTTTTATTAATGTATAAAATCAAAACTATTTTAAGGGGTGTTGAGTTTAATTTCCTTTTATATGTTTATGGTTTCCACTTTTGAGGCATTAGGAATAATTAAATCCATAAATATGTTGAGCAAGCCACTGAGAAATTAAACCAAAAATGAACCAATCCTAAATTATTCATATCCTGCCCTATATAATGAGATCTCAGAGCAGTGTGCAGAAAAATAAATGAAAACAAAATAAAATAATACATATAAAGCAGTGGTTCTCAACCTTCCTAATGTTGCGACCCCTTAATACAGTTCCTCATGTGGTGGTGATTTCCAACCATAAAATTATTTGCATTGCTACTTCATAACTGTAATTTTGGTACTATTATGAATTGTAATGTAAATACCTGATACACAGGATATATTTTCATTCACTGAAGCAAATTTGGCACAAATACCCAACACACCCAAATTTGAATACTAGTGGAATTGGAGGTGAGGGGATTGATTTTGTCATTTGGGAGTTGTAGTTGCTGGGTTTTATAGTTCACCTATAATCAAAAAGCATTCTGAATTCCACCAATGATAGAATTGAACCAAACTTGGCACACAGAATTCCCATGATCATCAGAAAATACTGGAAGG